GGAAGACTAGGGAACTGTGAACTAATATTCAAACACTTCTAAATTCATAAGGCATGGGTCCAGCTGACCCAGAAGGAAGACAGAAGAGTGAAGGAAGAACTGAAGTCTGAGTCATTGCAATGACCAAATTGACCTCTGTTGAATTGCTCTTTTTTTGACATAGAAATGTGTGGACAGCTTTTCTACATTATTCATAGGAAGAGTGAAGTGCAGAGTAATATATACCTTTTAGGAAAAATTCTCATGTTACAAAAGCATGGTCAGTTCAATTTTTATACTCTTTCTTGCCTCCAAGCTAACTGAACATTACATGCCCAAATCAGCCTAAACAAGTCCCTACTGTTTAGGGGAGCCTTGGCACCTAAGACAGAAACTTGGAAAAAAAGCAATCTACACATCAAACACCTCAACGTCTGCTTTTCTATCTAAATACTTTCTAACTTGAAAAATGTAGATAGCACTTAAACAGAAAGCACATTTCGAGAATACTCAACCTAGAATTTCTTGAAAGTATTGTTGAGGAAAGCTTCTTCATCAGCATTACCTGCAGAGTTTGACTAAAATGCTAATTACAGGGTTTCATCACAAAGCCATTGAGTCATACTGCCTCGTGATGAAATACTGGAATCTCTATGCTAAACTCCCAGGGTACCTTAAAATTTAAAAATTTCTGACAAATATTGTAGCTCTATAAGCCCAGTTCCCATTATTTCAAAAGCCAAATCTGAAGACCACCTATGTCAATATCATCGTGAAAAAATTCTGTTCTCAAGTCTCCCACTAGCTCTCTTGAATCAAAATTTCTCTTGTGTGCTGAGATTTGAGAAGCCAAATCTTTTCAATATAAAGATAAAGAAACTAAGACATAGAGAGATAAAGGGTCTTATACAGTATTGTCAATCTGGATGTGGCACAGATAGAATCACATTTAGCTTTCCAGATCAATTCAAATACTATGTCTTTCTGGTCACCCTGGAAGGCCATTTATGTCTCAGTTTGGAACCTGGGGCCACAACTTTCCTTAGGAGATCTAAAGCTAAAGAGTGAAATGTATGTCTTGTCAAGGCCCCAGGCCAAGGCGCCTCTTCCAATGAGTAACAAATAATATCCTGGCATCTTCAGTTTTTTAAATTAAAAAGAAGCTTAAAAAAGTATATTTTGAAAATAAGGCAGTGTTAGGTCACAAAAGGGTCTTTAAGCAACAGGGTACAGCAGGCTTGTGTTAGTCAGTTTTATCACACCATAACAAAATATCTGAGATTATCAACTTGAAAGAGAAAAGGTTTACTTTGCTCACAGTTTGAAAGATTCAGTCCATGGTTGTTTGGCTATGTTGCTTTTGGGCCTTTATGAAGTGGTACATCATAGCTGGTTAAAACTGCTCATGCCATAGAAGCTGAGAAGCAAAAAGGGAGAGGAGGAACTGGAGTCCTAATATCCCCTTTAAAGGGTCATTGTCTATAATCTAAAATCTCCAACTATGCCCCACTAATGAAAAGTTTTCACCAATAATTCCAAGTTGAAGACTAAATCTATAATATACAAGCCTTTGAGAAGTATTCCAGATCGAAACTTTAGCAAGGACCTTGACAATGCAATCTCAGAGAAATTCAGAATGGAATTTTATGTCTAAGGAAACTTTTAACCATTATATTGAGCCAAACTGAACACAAACACCAAAATGGCATGCAATACTTTATTAAACCAATTTGTTGTTGTCATTGTTGTTGATGATGACTTTGTTCTTGAAATGTTTAGCTATTAAGTCAATAATTAAATATTTGCAGTTTTGTGTCAGACCCAGTCTGAGTTCAGGAGTCTGATCCTCCAAGTCTGTGCAATCAGCATTCCAGCTCTCACTCTTCTTCATTTCTTCAAGGTGAAATTCTCTAGCCTGATATGCTCTGCTCCAGTATCTTCTGAGGGAAATCTAGACGAAAGTTACTGACCTCCAAAATGAGAGCAATTCCCAAAATGATTTTTTTGACAGATTAGTTAATTGCCATTGACAACAGGGCCATTTTATGATTTACATTTGTCCTAATGCTCATAACTTTAGCAAATGTTTCACCAATGCTACATAATTAGGAAAAGTAAATGTCATGCCACCTTGAATATATAATTCTGAAAAGAAACAGGAAGGATACCTTAAGAAAGATCTGGAACTTCTGAGGGTAGAAGAAAAGGCCAGAAGGCAAGGACAGGAAATCAAAACCCCACCATTTCAACCAAAAAAAGAATTCACTAGATGACTGCAAATCCTTATTTTGATTCTGAAATAAAAAAGCTCTATACAAATAGTAATTCTTTATTATTAATTTGGTGCCAAATCTCATTTGGCAGAAATGCTTGACCTGGCTTGACATCAATTTAGTGTTTATCCATTTTAATATGAGTATTCAGACTTTTTGCAGAAATTTTAATGGCATAATTATGGGATGTTTCTCCAAACACTTCAGAAAGTGTTATATAATAAACAGTACTCCTCTGTGTTCAACCTTTCTAAAATCTCAAAAAATATAAATTTTGAAATTCCAAAACACAGACAACAGATGACAGACCTAGAGTAATGATAAATAACATTTATGGAGCAGTTGCCATCTGCATGAAACTGTGCTAGTTTCTTTTAACTTAATCATCACAAACACTATGAGGTACGTATTATAAGCATCTGTATTTTCACATTTGGAAGCTGATCCTTAAAGTGATGAAATAATTGCCTAGAGTGACACAATCTTTGTCCAAACTTGAATTTGAGCCTGTCAATTTGACTGTAGAACCTAATGCTTAACTCTTGCATTCTGTTGCCTGAGAGTGAAAAGCAGTTGTGAAGGACAGTGTGGGCCCTCTGTAGGCTTTAGATAAAACTAGGATTAGAAACCACCCATTCTGTGTCACTTGAGGCCCAACCTCTTACTTCCAAATATATCCTCTCCCCACTTCTGGTTCTCTGTGTTGCTATTATTATAGCTTTGAGATACAACTTTTTATACAGGGATCATCTAAATCCAAAATCAAGTGACCAGTTTGCTAAAGTATAAAATTTCTATGTTCTACTCTGTACCTAGTGTCAGACCTCCTAGGTTTTGGAACTGAGTTAATTCCTTTGTATATTAAAATTTGAATAAAATGTAAGTGTGCTGAGAAGAGCCAATCATTAACCCTTATTATAAACTACTATCTGACTACCTCATTGTTGCTGAATAGTTGGGGAACAGGAATGAGCACCTGGGAAGTGAAAAATATCTGGAAGGTCGATCGAGGCCCTAGAAGAGTGAGATATGGAAAAGAAGGAAGCAAGCCGAGTATGAGTATGTCTTCCTAATTTGGTAATGTGTGATATGGATATAGCCTCTTTGCTGGGCTTGGATCAGCTGCACTTGGAGCAATTTTGGCAGCAAACCTCTTATTATTTTGACACTCAGAGAACTTATGTTATCACACTGATAAAACAAACCTTTTGGCATAGACAAGATTGTCACCCTCTTTAGTTAGAAAAGGAAATTGAAAAGTTAGGTGTGGTGGCACATGTCTATAATTCCAGCACTTGGGAGGCTGAAGCATGAGATCATTGAAGTTTTAAGGCCAGCCTGGACTACATGGTGAGTTCAAGGAGAGCCTGAAATGGAGAACAAGACCTTGCCTCAATCTACCCCCCAACAAACACACCAAAAATTTGAGACCTAAATGAGTTCTTCAAGTCTTTTAATGAATTAATTAATGTCATTCTGTGGATCAATTTCTGGGCCCCTATTTTATACTATTTTAGTCTCTCTCTCTCTCTCTCTCTCTATATATATATATATATATATATATATATATATATATAGTATGCTTCAGAATAAAAATTAGAGAAACTAAAATACAGAATAATTCAACTAGCATACCATGTATTTGGTTATCAGTTTAACTTTTGTTGGTGGCTTTATTATTATCAAAGCAGGAGGAAGTGCTACTATTTTGATCTTTGTACTTTTAAGAATATTTATTTCTTGTTTGCTTACTTCTCAATCTTATCTCTTCATCTTACCTGTGATATTTTGGTTATGTCCGTGGCAACAAAATATGGCCTCAGACAGAAACTAGGTAGCCAGAACAAAAGTGGGTTAAATAACATAATAGCAAGCAGATTTCTAACAGGATTACAGGTTAGGCTTGGGCAATGAAGTGTATGATTATTCCAATTTAGATTAAATACTCTTTACAACAACACTTTAGAAACTTAAATGCCCATTCTAGTCATACTGAGAATCTTCATTCAATATTTCTTGGATGGGACATGAGATTCTGCATTTCTAACAACTTTCATGGTGATATAGATGTTTTTTCTTCACAGCTTATATTTTGAAATACCCAGAAACATGAACTATGGACATATTTAAGAAGTACATGCAAATGAGCACTCTTGTAGTTTTGGAGAAGAGCAGCCCTGATGAGCCTGCCAAATCTAATATTTACTGACTGGGTGACCTTAGGCAAACACCTTCACTTCTTTGTATCTCTATTTAAACATCTGTGAAATTATGAATTTGGCCTAGATGATCTCTAAATTCACTTTGGATTGTAAAATTATTTGACTCTGGTGAAAAACTTTAGAACTATGATTTAATATGGATCAAATTCCCCCTGAATTATAAGACAGGGAGGGTGGACAGAAAACTACTGTGACTATTGCATACATCTTCTTAATTCCAAATTGTCTATGTGTTCTAAGGTAACATATTTCTTCTGAATGTGCCAAACATTGACATTCTTCTTGAAGAAGGGGCAACATTGAGAAGCAAACATTTTTGAGCATCTCTCCAATCAGCTCTCATCGTCCACTAGTGACTTTCATAGATCATAGTTTTGGCTGCTTGCTAATGACACTGGCTCTCTGATCACAGAACAAAGTCACAGTCTTTCAATGATCTCTAGTACTAGTACTCAATTCTACTCAGTCTGACCTGATTCAAGGAGACATAATGAAGAAATACACAGAATCACAACCTTGCAGGTAGACCCTTCTTTTTCTTCAAAGAGAGAATCTGATTCAGCAACCACAAACGCAGCATCTTCTTGAAGAAAATTATTCTCTGAGAAGTAACCTCATGCCTGCTCTGATCACCCCAGTGATGTCTGTACCCTGATCATTTAAGTAATTTACCATTTCAGGGTGACCTTGGCAATCATTTAGGGTTTCTCACTCAGATGATTATCTATTTGACAGCTCTTAAGCTTCTCAGTCCTATAGCTGATGCCTAAATTAAGCTCCTTTCTGAGTACCTATTTCACCAGATGAACAATTTTAGAGTCTACTCTGAATATGACCAGAGTATTCTACTGAAGCAAAATGAAATCTTTGTTCTTGCCTTCCAGTGATCATCTGGTGAACCCATAAAACAAGAAATGAACCCTCTGATGAATTCTAAGGTTGAAAAAGGAGACAACACCTCTCAACAGGATGTTACTACTTTCCAGTTCTTTTCTCAAAATCTGAGTTGTAATGTAACAAATCACAAAGAGAAGTTCCATGACAGACTGTGTGACCACATCCAGGATGAAAAAAGTGTCACAGGTATGATGGAGAATATCCCAGACCTGATAATTCAGTGCATTCAGTTGGACAAGAAAAGTAATAACAAGCCAGAGCTCCTACAATCAGAGACTCAACTCCCAGTGTTGGCTTCCCTCTCCAGCTCCACAAGTCCACGACCCAAGGAAGAGACTATACAGCTTCGGGGAGGACAGCTTCCTCTCACCCCAGCTAAAAGAGCTCGTCAACAAGAAACTCAGTTGTGCCTCTACTGCAGCCAGGCTGGTCATTTCACAAGAGACTGCCTTGCCAAACGTTCTCGAGCCCCAGCAAGGACAAATAACCCAGCTTACCAATAAGGGGAGCCCAGAGAGTCACTTTGCAAACTTATATCCCTCTCACCCTCAGTCTTACTGATATACACCCTTCACTAACTCTAAAATACAAGTGGATAATTGTGATACCACTTTACAGGCAGCCATGAACTCCTGTGTTACTGAAGATTTATACAGCTAGGTCTCATTCACTAGAAGCTGACCATTCAATGAACTAGTAATAATGAAAACAATTCACAGGCATTTAGGTAGTTGGGACCAATTCCTCTAAGATTATGGAAAATTTGTAGGCAAAACTCTCCTAGTCTAAGCCAATAAAAGTGGCCTTGGTGATATATTAGGAATCCCATCTTCACCAATGGATGAGAGGGTTGAATTTTTGAGCTAAATTTTGTGTCGTGTGTACTTACAAATTAGACCAAGATGATTTTACTCACCCTCCTTGATCTGTAAGTAGTTTCATATCAGCCTAGGTCCTTTGCCTGAAATACTGCTAATATACTGTTAATATTCAACTTCTAAAGGCTACATCCTGCTCCACTTATTGACCAGAGTCTAATTTCAACACAAACCAATCTTCCTGGAACTACAGCTCTGTCACTCATCCACACAGCTATATATTTTGTTACTGTCTAAAGATATTTTTTGTCTAAAAAACTGAATTTCCTGGTCATTTACAAACCAGATTGTATGACCCTTTGAATACTACTTGTCGGACCTTCTAAAAGTCATATGCTTTTAGCCATACCTTACCAATCTCAGCTATCTATCTCCCCCTCTTCACTAATAATCTTATTTGAGGTTCCAAATATCTTATGGCTAAGTTGAAATACTTTAAAATAATGACCTCTGAAAGATATTTAGTGAGAGTTGTAGAAGACTATTATAATTATTGTGTTTGGGTCATATTCTTGTTGCTTTGAACAGGGAATATGGACAAACATATCTCTACTAAAAACCAAGAATCAAGTCCTATAGTAGTTCTCTATGTAGAAGCCTCAATTTGGTCACTATCTGGGATAATTACCTGTTGATTTTGAGCTCTAATCTTATATACCACACACCCAAGGTCCCTCATCTGACAGAAGATCCTGAAAAGTAAAGTTGCAGGCAACTTTCAGAGCCATCTCACTGGGAAAACCTTAAGACACATATAACACCATCTGTGTATACAGTTCAGGAAGTGCAAGGATTTTATTGTGTTGTATTCTTGACACATATCAGCTCTGTATATAAAGAGCTGATGCTTCTAGTCATCAGTTCCTTAAAGTGCTAAGGGTATCTAAAGAGGATCAGAAGTTGCTGATAATTATTAGTCTTCTGGTTCCTCATTATTGGTGACAATATATATCCTCCCTATAATGGATTGCTTAAAGATCAATAATTATTTATTCCTTAGCAGCCATCAGGTTTTTCAGAACATGAAGTGTCATTGTACTTTGGCATTTTTCCTGAAAAATTCTTGTAACTTTTCCACATTTAAACACAGCTAGATTTTACTATTCTCATTCTGTAGCACCAGGAAATGCATCGTTTCTCCCATCAGTGCCTCTATAACTACTGTGCCAAACTATACTTGCATGTTCAAGGTCCCCTTTATCAATAGTTTGCTATACATTCACATTACTCCATAAACTCCAACAATAAGGAGACATCAGTGCACATGTTCTAGTTATGTTGGGAAATCTCTGCTGTATTTCTGGGATTGTATGAGATCCTCCAACATGTAGATCTATTTGAACTTTGAGTGACTGGGATTACCTGGAGGTATCCTAATCTGTCTCCACTCATATTTTTAAATAAATGTCTAACTCAATGGTATCCAGTCACTTCGTTCACTCACTGCAGTATGTTCCTGGAATGCCAGTAGGATCAATAAGGTGACTTGGAACCAATCTTTCTTTATTTTAGGACAATGATTTACTATTGTGGCTCTCTTATAAAGATGTATCACCTTTATTCCATATGGACACTCCCTTTGCAGCAACATTATCTTCTTTTTCAAAAAAATTCCTATTCCATAGCCTATTACCAATGATAATTTGTCCAGGTCTGTGAACTCCAGTTTACTTCCTATTCCTCTGGGTACCTTGATGAGGTACTTCCATTGAAAGTCTCTTATATACTATGTGATTCAATCCATAACCAAACTGAGCAATCTGTGATAATGCTTTACTGCTTACTACCTAGCAACTATTGAAAACTTCTGTTATAGTGATTCTATCCCTTATACACTATCAGCTTCAATTCGAATCACTCATTACTTAGGGTGAAGAGTTACAAAAGAGTGTCCTCAGAACTTGTAGCTACATAAATTTTTCTGAAAATGAAACATTGGAATCCACAAAAAACAGATGAAATGTAACATACTTAAAGCTGTCATATGTAAATATCAAGGCTTGGGTAATCCCCTAGGGCCGATCAAAGATATAGTTTTAGAGAAGTAAATCTGCTATATGACTGGCGCCTCTGGAATGTTAGGAGCTAATCACTTTATGATAAAGTTGAAAAATGAATTACTGACAAGAAAGTGGTCTGCATTGAGCCTATAAAAGGAGACAATGAAAGAAACATTACTGATGGACATCAGTAATCTCTCTAGCCTCAGAGATGAAATACTGACCAGTAGATCATTTGGCAGGTCTACTGATGCAATGGGCTTGAGCCACCAATTCATCTCAATTTGTGTCATTAGTCATTAAGGTTGACACATATCACCTTTTGTTCTGGCTCCATGGTATCCAAATAACCTCATTGTAGTTGCTTTCTTATATAAACTTTCTTATGGGGAAGACATTTGCTAACCATTTGAAGTGAGTGGTCCAGAGTATTTGGCAGGTGTTTCTTATAAGTGAATAAAATGGCTATGGCTTATGTTAGTTTCTTGTGGGTTATAACAGCACCAATCCTTTGTATCCTAATCACCTTTCAGCACATTAAAAATAAGATTATCACTGAAAACTCGGCACCACATTGTGAATCATAGTGAATGCACTGAAGATTGACCTTTCAAGGAAATTTGCCTCAGCACCATCCAACCTACATCTTTATTTCTCTCATTTTTCTATAATTGTAATAAAATTGCTAATTATATATGGTTTTTACTTGCTACAATTAACTTAACTTACACCAAGAAGCATTTTATCATATTACATAGTTCAGTGTGTCAAAAATACTGTCATAGGTGACATATAGCTGCAGACATAAGCCACTGAAAAGCACTGTTAGAGAGGGAAAAGTAGGTACTTGGCCTTAGTCCTGCCACCTCCATTTTGTCCAAATGACAACCCATAGGAGCCATGCTGTCACTGCTGTGATTTCTATCCATGGTAATACAGTAATATGCTTTTCTAAATTCTGAAATGTCACCTTCCCCGAGCTCATCTTGTCTATTCTTATAATGCACTGAAATGAAACACAGCATTTGGAATATAAAGAAATTTTACTAACAAATTGGAAAAATCAAATATCACATGCCTTTGAAAGGCCTTTAGAAGCTTGTATCACTTCTTTAAAATGCTTGTCTTTGGTAACCTGTTTCATTGGCAACTTATGAAACATCAAATATCACATGGCCAATAGAATGGAAAAGCTTTTTAAAGAATATAGTGTTATGGATCTTTAATGTCATCATGGATCAGGAATCACTGACTATATTTTAAAAACAAAAGTTTCAAAACTCGTTACACTTAATGAAGTCTGTCAAACTCTTTTGGTAAACATAACATTGCCTAGACCACGTTGGCCAGTCATTGATCATGTCTGTAGCTTTGAATATTCATGCACTAAATTATTGGCATTTCTTCTTTGTAGTGGATTTGATTCTTTGGTCTGTATAAACTTATTTCCTATTCATTGATTTTTGTACTTTATCTATATGGGTCTGCTTTTCTTATCTACACAGCTCAGTGATAATTCAGCTATGTCTGTATTCACCAACTTTACTTTATAGTAGCTCAGTGGAGGAATATGTGGATATTCTGTCTTATGCATAGATTCATCCCTTTGAAACTAGTAATATCTTTACTCTAAATAATACGTAATAATGGCTACTTTATTACAAACACTACTGTGTGCTTTAATTTGCTAGTGGTAATTATTTAAGCTTCATGTTACTCAAAGATGTAACGTTCATTTCTTTTCTTTCTTTCTTTTTTTTTTTTTTTTTTTTTTTTTTTTTTTTTTTTTTTTTTTTACCGGTACCAGGGATCGGACTCACGACTGCGCGCTTGCAAGGCAGGTGCTTATGCCGCTGAGCTAAATCCTCAGCCCTGATTTCTAGGATTTAATGCTCACTCCTCTTTATAAGTTTTAAAACTTCAATTTAAAGATGAGGAAATGAAAGTTCAGAGCAGCTAACTTACCTGTTTCCATCATAAGATTAGTAAGTTACTGAATTAAAATTTGAAAACACATTTTTCATGTTAGAATCTCATGTTCTCTGAGAATAAAACAAGAAATTCTCTAAATCACACCTTCCTGATCATCCTAACAGACCCCATTGCACCTCTTATCTTATAACTTGCATTCACAAAACCACTGGTTGAAACTCATATTCTAGTCCAAAAGGAAGCACAGAACAAATTGGTGTCTTCTAGAAATTTGAAATTTCATTTGTGCTTCTAATAAATTGCAGAAAATTCTTTGACTCATTTGAAACTGTATTCCATTTGTGTTATATGATTCACTGAGTCATTTCTAAGAAAAAGCTCTCGTATTTCTATAACACTTCACTCAAAGGCATTGAATCGTTTTTGAACAACAATGTTTATAGTGACTGTACAATGCAGGGATATAATGACTTTTTAAAGTCTTCTGGGAAAATCAAAGCTAAAATAAAATAACTTTGCATAACATGGATAGTACTGAACCATTTACACTTGAGAACTTCCCTCTAACAACCTCAGTAAACACCACCTTCCAACAGTCTCATTCCAAGGCGAATTTACCAGAAGGTAGCCCTGTTCTCTTTTATTTTACCCATGAGTAAACTCTCAAATACCATGTGTCCCTTAGATATCCATGGCATGTCCATGATTCATGAATATTTTATTAAACTGACTTGTTTTTAGCAATGTAACACCTAACAGGGCAGTGGACACCATAGATTCACAACCTGCTATTTACATAAGTGTTCCCCTTATGAGAATTTTCACCTCTAAATAAATGTGAAGAAAATATCTCCCCCAACTTAATTATTGCAGTATATGAAAGGGGCTGTGTTGATGCTTATTGCCATGATTTGGATTAGCACACCTCTGAGTCCCATATATTAATGGTCTGGTCATTAACATATAGTACTACTGGGAGATGGTGGGGCTTTTAAAAAGATGGGGCCTAGTGAAAGGGAATTAGGTCATTGAGGGCATGCCCTGAAAATAGATATTGGGACTTGATCCCCTTCCTGTGTCTCTCTCCTTTGTCCCTGGATGCAATGAGGTAAATAATGTCCTCTCCCACATATTCTTTCCATGATGTATTTGCCCTGATATATGCCCAAATAAATGCCAAACAACTACAAATTAAAACTTTTGCATCTGTGATCCAAAGTAAATCTTTCTTTTTAAGTTGATTACCTTGGATATTTTGTCACAGTAACAAAACTGGGTGATACATGATTTTAGAAAATTTGGATATTAATAAGAATCAGTGAGTGCTTACTATGTGCAAAGGATGGGGCAGGTAAACTATGTGCATAAGCCTCAAAATATTCCCATGAGAAAATCACATTTCATGTGTTCAAATAGGTAAATCCGTATACCTTAAATGGCTCATTGAAGGTCATATTTAATTGGTAACTCAGCCAAGATTCATATCTAGGTCTCACTGACAGAAGAGACAATGCTTTAACCATTATACTACACATTATTTCCAGTATGGTGTCCAATATTGAAACATTTTCCTCTTGTTAGTGAGACTTTATGTGTTTATCTATCAAGACTAGTAATCCCACCATTGTGCCTTTCCCAAACTTTTTGCAACTCTACTCAGTCTTTAGTGGAGGACAACTGTTACTACTCAAACCCAAAATAAGATAAAATTTTCTCTTTGGTTACTAATGTTTTTTTAAAAAGATATTCAGTACCTTTTTAGATTTTTTCACTTCCTTGAAAAGTGAATCATTGAAAATCTTTACATGAAGGCCATAATTCTCTTTCTGAGTTAGAATTAATGGATGGCATAAAATATATTACACTAAAAATGTGATTAGAGTATAGTATAATGAAAGTATATCCTTTAAATAAAACTGGACTTCATTGCTATTCTTTGTGAGTGCTCTCACAAGGTATTCCTATAGTTTCCCCTTAAACACGTGCTTACTAATAATTATAATAATAGCAGCTACTACTTCCAATAACTATTCATCAGGAATTGTATCTTTTAATTTATATGCATTTTCTCGTTAATTGTCACAGAAATCCCCTTAATGTTTGTTATCATTATCCTTGCTACTCTTTTGATGAATTTCAAGTTTAGAGTAGCTAGGAAATTATTCCTAGACACAGAGCTCATAAGAAACAGAGGCAGAACTCAAAATCATTTATGTATCTGTAAAATTGGAGACCATACTCCTATTGGTACATTATTATCCATCTACAACAGGAGAAGTCCACAAACTGTTCTGTGGACTAAGACTACCCTATTGCTTCTTTTAGAAAGTTTTATTAGACTACAATTACACACATTTGTTGACATATTACCTGTGGTTGTTTAACATTCTATGGCACATATGGTCCATAAAGCCAAAAATGGTAACTTTCTACTCCTTTATAGAAAAAAAAGTTTCCTGACCCTAACAGAAAACATATTAAAATATTAAATCAGACCAATTCCTGGGGCTTCTCACTTTTTAGACTTTTCCTTTTAAATGCCCCATGTATTATTTTATTACGTGTTTGAGGTACATAATGTTCCCTTTTTTTGTGTGGAGTTGTTGCTTTTACATTAACGCATTTTAATTTCTTTTTTCATCCCTGTTCCTTCCCTTCCTTTTTCCCTCCCTCCTTTGATCCCCTTCCCATTTGAAAAAAGTATGACTAACTATATCCTATTATCTATCTTTTATTTTGCTCTTTAATTATATTTTGTATTTCTTATATGAGAATTTATAAAAATAGTTAATAAAACCATGTGATAATTAATCATGTGTGCCTGATTTATTTGATTTAACGTTATGGTTCCAAGATAAATGCATTTCTCTAAAACGTTTCTCTATCTTTAAGGCCGAGTGGCATTTCATGGATCACTAGCCCCTAGACAAATACAAAACAAAATAACGCTGATATTCTATCTTGTGCCATTTAGTCTTATTTTTTTGTCTGCACCTAAATTAGTACCATGTATATTATGAAATATACAGAGTTATATAGTGTTTAAATATAGAGTTAAATAGTGTTTTATAAAAGATTACCTATAAGTTTTGGAAATCTAGATAAACTTTTCTGGTGCTCTTTTATCAGCATGTATGCTTTCTACATCAAAGAAATAATATTTTAGCCAAGTATGGTTGTGGAAGACATTTGTTTTTGCCTCATCAGCAAATATTCTACCTTTGACAATGTTTTCTAATTTTCTTGTGGAGATCTAACTCCCTTTACAATCCTGGGTAACATTCTACCCCCATGTCTGGGACCAGGCCTAAGTCAATCATCTTATATCATTTGCCTTTATACTGTGACTTTTCTGCGAAGTAGGCTTGCCTCCTAAACTAATCCAAGTAGAGTGAGTCTTATGACTCTTCTTGGGAATATTTTAAAAAATGCTTCCTTTTTTCCTAACTAGAGTAGAATATAGAAGGATTATGACTGTACTTGCTACTGATGGTAACCTTTTCACTGAAAGAGGACAACTTATTTGATTAAGAGCAAAGACTTTCTGAGGAAGTACAACTGAGGAGTATGGATGAAAAAACTAAATCCTGATGGTGATTTTATGAGTCACTGATCCAATTCTGACTGGAGATGTGAGCTAATAAAAGTGCTTTTAGTCCTTTTAGGAGGGCACATTCAGTGAGTTTTCCTGTACTTTGGAACCCAAGGAGTTCTGATACAATGATGTTCCCTATTGAAACTACACTATTTTTAGCCCAGTCGCTTATGTCAATTAGGAGAGTGAAAGCAGAAAAAGTTATTAGTTGCCTAGTAACAGCAACAAGGTTCCTATATCATAGTGATGGTACTGAACGAAGAACACTAGTGTTATGCATTCTATTCCACTTTTAACTTCTTAACACAGAAGTTCCCAGATTCTCTACCCCTAGAAGCTTTGTTTTTGAATTTGCTTTTGTTTGGCCCGTGAGTATCTGGATAGAGAGTGACCCCCAAAAAATTACAGTCTTGCAAATGCATAACAAACAAATGTGAGGTGACTAGTTAGAGCTTGAAGAGCAAGTTTTGGTTCATGATCATTTCTATCATCAAAACCTGCATCTTTTCCAAGTACGCAGTGAAACAGCAAAGATTAATGCTGAAAGGGGGCAGGGATCACGGAACCAATTAACCTGGATTTAAATAATACACAAAAGTTTGCAGTTTCCTTAACTTCTCTGTGCCCCCATTTCCTATTCTATATAGGACAATTTTGAGGACAAATAAATTAATATTCATGAAAATCTGAAAATATTGGCTGGCACACAGTAAGTGCTTGCTATAGAAGTATTTGTTAAATTGAAAAAAGAAAGTGAAGGACAGAAAAGTTACTACAAACAACTTAAATATATATGCAGGGAGTTTGTGAAAATATTTATTGTCCCACCTTATGCAGCATGTGAAAGACACAATAGCACAGATTATTTTTTTCAAACTCCCAATCTAGTTGATTCTTATCTTGTCTATTGGAATGATTGAAGAGATGGTCTGACTTGGAGGCTACATAGGGCAGAAGTCCATATGTGGTTTTTCTCTTTCCCAATAGGAATGCATTTTTGTTTCTCTCCATTTATCTTCAAATATATGGATCTTAATTTCATTTTAGCACTTAAGAAGGACTACAATGGAGACTGTCAAAAGATCTCTGATGTCATCCATGTTTCCTGTAGTCTCTTAGGCCCAGAGCAATACCAATTCAAGTCATCATTGAACACTTACGTAACCTTGTGTCTAACACTATGCCACAAGATT